AGGAAGCGCGTGCGGGCAGTAAAACTCATGGTTCTCAGAACTCACTACCGGCCACTCCAGGTTGAAGATTCAATGGTTTGAATTCCCCTGAAAACCAGTGGGGAATGTTAAGGGTGGAAAATTTTCAAGTGAGCAAACTAGCTAAATCAGCTACAGGGAAGAAATATCTTTAGATATCAGGAGTTGTCCTACTTGCTTGTGTGTGGTTTAGGAAGTGTATTGTATAAGATATGAAGATGGCCAATATCTGCTTCTGTAATCCATTTACTTGTTAATTAAGGGTGTCGTTCCGGGCAAAGATATGCTAACAGCCAACTTCCACTTCTGTAATCTGCTTGCTTGTTCAGGAGACCACCAGGATATGGTCTTAAGCTTTATCAGCTGCCTCCTCTGAAAGCTCGGGGCTGATCTCCTCTAACCCTGCCTGGTAGAGAGTCAGTCGCCGGCGGCTAATAAAGGCTCATAATTAATCTCACTGGTAGAGAGTCAGTTGCCGGCGGCTAATAAAGGCTCATAATTAATCTCAAGTGGCTCCGTGGGTCTCAGAATCATTCGCGCCACAACGTCGGTTTGGAGCTCTCCGCCCTTATGCCCAATTAACCTCGGAGACCTGGATGAGCTACAAGGGGGCGGTCAGGCTTTCCATTTTTGACCTGGAGGTTATAATTAGGCAACCTCCTCATTACGAGACCAAAACCAACGGTCCTTTTTCCAGAATTTCCTGTTCGCTCTACTGACTACAGCTGCAGCGCAGGATAGAGAAGCAAAAGCAAAGGATTGCATAACACCCACGCCACCAGCCAGCCGCTGCCAATCCCTGCCTCCAACACCCGGGGGTGAGCGCTGGATCGCCGTGGGGCATGGACAGCTCCGATTGGGGGAGAGGCGTGCCCTGACATCACACCAGCCCCTAAAGTCTCAGGATTACGGGAAAGAAGGGAATCCAGGAAGAATATAACCCGGAACGACTTTTACAAGCCTGGGTCTGCCCTCCTCCGGAGCTGGGGTCCGAAACTCATCAACGAAGCGAGCTCCGCCCCCACGGCCCGCCCGCGCGGTGGGATCAGGTGACCGCGGCCCGGCGCGGTCACGTGGTTGGGTCGTGCCTACGTGGTTGGGGCGCGCCCGCCTGTTGTGGCCATGGCGGCCGCAGACTCCAGTGTGGTGAAGCGAGTGGAGGAACTCGGGGACCTAGCTCAGGCCCACATACAGCAACTTAGCGAAGCCGCCGGCGAAGATGGTGAGGCAGCGGAACGGAGGGAGGCGGGCGGGCGGACAGTGGTTCAGAGCTGGCGCTCTACAGCCGTAGGGGCTGGAGGCTGCGGCCTGTGGTTCGTGTGTATCCCACGCTGGAGCTACTGAAGGTGCTGTGCTTTTGACCCCTGCTGCGCGGTCTGTTGTCCATCTCGAAGAATTCACATTGCCTGAAGCCAAGGCATTTGCGTCGAAACCGCATGTTTCATGACCATGAAAACCGCTTCTCAGTGCTGCTTGCCTTTAATTGTCTCGGTAGCGATTGGGAAAAAGGGCAAAATCCGGATAACGTACACATGAAAGTTTAAATGGTTAAAGCTGAATGATAGCATACAAGTAATGGTTGTTTTGTGTACAGTAAAGATAGCTAGGCAAGTATAATAGTTTCACTTTTTTATTGCTGCGTTGTAAATTTCTTAAGTTTGGATTCTAAACGCAACTGTAAACAATTCTGCAGAAGAGCTTTACATTGGTATAATTGAGACGATTCTTTCACGTGCATCCCCTCAATCATCACAAGGGCTCTGTCAGGATTAGAACACTTCTTTGGAAATGTCTAAGCGTTTTCCTTAAGAAAAACTGGCTTAGAATTACCTCGACTTCTGACTTTTAAGTTTAATTCTCTTTCATTACTTTCCAGCTACCTATAGATTTTACATTATTTCTTTTCGAGTTTTCAGCCTTTACTACAGATCTGTTTCAGAATTCTCGTGGACTAATTGTCATCGGACCCACAGGAAAATAGAAGTGAGACATTTACTCAAGTGACAATGGTTGTTAAATTTATGGAATAGGGTCTATGATGAAATGGCTCTAGTACTAGTGAATTATTTGCCGAAATATCTTAGGAGTATATTCTTCAAAACCCACAGAATACCCAGAAGCCGACTTCTTTTTTGGTTTGTGGTAAGTGAATCCCAGGATTCACATGAATAGTTAGTTCATGAACTGTAGAAGCTATCACCTGGAAGTGTATCAAAGTTACCTCTAAATAAACTATTCATTGATCTCCACCCCACTGCAGTCTAAAGAGATCAAAGAATGTTTTTTATTCACTTACCACTGAACCCTAAAGCCATTCTCATTTTCCTATGGAAGAGTTATTTATTTCAGACTAAATCGAAGGCTAGAAATAAAAGTCATGTGGTATATAGTTACGTGGTATATATTCGTGTTTGGAGGCTTTATAGTTCTGAAAATTTACTAAAAATAATATTGGTCTATACTATGAGTTATTAACTAGCATTACTGGCATGATTTTTTTTTTATTTTATGAAATTTAATTAGGACATGGTGCATGTATTTGAATTGAACTTGGCATTCTTAACATTTAACACTTAAAATTGTCTGGTGATATAACAACTGTATATTTATATTAAGTTTTAGAGATTGATAGTTGTTCTCTTCTTCAGATTAGATCAGAAACAGCCAGAAATTCCATCTAAGAATGTTATCTTTATTTCTGGTCAAATTTTTTTCACTATTTCTCATCGTACAACTACAATATGTTTACTGTTTGGCGGTATGCATATATTGCCATATAGTAAGTCTTTCTGGACCCTTTCCAGTGATTATATAAGAATCACTATTGTCTTGCCAGTTGTCACTTTGAATGGTTATAGAAAAAAGATTGCATCTCATAAAAATTTTTTAAAATGCGAGCTATTATCCCCTCACCTTCAGTAATTAAGTCATGAGTTCATGTGAGATACTTCTTCACCAATGGTTTAGTGAATTCAGTGCAGATCTTTACATTTAAAATAATCTTGCAAATTAAAAAAGTGTCAATGCAGTCTCTAAAGAAGCACATAAAGAGAGTCATGTTCCACACAATTTCAGTTCACAATAAAAATTTTTTTCTAGGTTGTATGGGTGATACTTCTGGGCTGAGGAGAATTGGGAGGACAGTGCTAAAGAAATGTTAATTCAGGTGAATAATGGACCTTACAGCAATCAGAATCTGGTCTAGATAGAAGTTAGGCCTCACTTGGGAAAACCTAAAGTCATCATCATATGATTGCCAACAGACATAATTTAAGCTGGTGGTGCTTTTCCTCCAACACTGAACAGCTTATGTATCTGTGTAAGTGCTGAGGCAGGATCAGATGGGCCCGAACCAAGTGCTACATTTTCTATCTATTGGCCAGTGAGGAGGAAAGGAGATATATTTTAGGAGGGAAGTACAGGGGGCAAACTCAGGGACTTTAGTGTCTTTATGGTGGGCATATCTAAATTTGATTACGTGAGGTGCTACAGAAGGGTAGATAGCGCCTTGATGGACACTTTGTAGTTAGGAAAGAAAAATTAATAAGAAAAGGTAAAACCATGGAAGCAAAGGCAATGTGATGCTGAAGAAAGGGAAGAAATTAGAAAATAGTGTAGAGTGAGAGAGGACATATCAAAAATATTTAGTTCTAGTTCTTCCAGGTTTTGAAGGGGTAAAGTAATTTGTTCTATATCTAGGTTTTTTAAAAAAATGCAAATGCATTATGTAATTTTAATTTGTATATATATAATTGCTATTTACACAACTAAATACATAAACACAACTATATTAAAGGTATAATTACTGAGTACTGATGATTTAAGACATTTAATTTAATCAGTTATGTTCTTTTGGAAAATACATTTATGAAATGTAAGTTTTCAGGGAAGCCCTCTCTGTAGATTTATGTATATTATTTGTACTAGTCCAGTAGAAGTTTTAAATTTATTTAAACATTTCAAGTATGTCAACATCAGAAAAGAAGCAATATGAAAATACAGACTGCATGTAAGAAATGGCAACAGTGAACCTAGAAAATTTTCAGTCTAGCTTTCCAGAATAAATTTCCATGATAAATTAGCTTAATAAGGATTAGGCATTATGATACCCTTTGTTTTACATAAGATATTATTACCATCATGCTGCCTCTCCAATACTGTAACATAATTTCATTTAATCATGTACATACCATTCTTTTTGTTTAAATAACACTCTGAAACTGTGAAATAATTGTCAATGTTTTTATCTTTTCCAGATCACTTTTTAATTCGGGCCTCTGCAGCACTAGAAAAATTGAAACTCTTGTGTGGAGAAGACAAAGAATGTTCAAGTCCATCAAATCTACTAGAACTTTACACACAAGTACTGAAACAGATGTGGTTTCTGACATGTTACAGGGGCAGATTGCTTATTTAGGTGGTTAATTCCAAAGTATAAGTGTGATGGAATCAGTTCATTCTCTATTTAAAGTGTTTAAATTTTTTCAAAAAATCATCTTTATAAAGCATATAGACTTGAAACTGAGACAGTATGCAAAGAAGTAAGATTTATTAGATGTGCTAATAAGAAAAGTCAAGAAAAAATCTTGCAGATAACAAAATTGCTTCCCTTTACAAATAATTAAGGAAACAGGAATGTGTGAAATTTCCAAGGTTTTAAAGGTTATTCAAAGGGACTAGAGGACTCTGTAAGAGCCTCAGTTATTTTTTTTCCCCTGAAATTCACTTTTCCTTAGGATTATTAACATGATTCCCCCTGCTGTTGTCATGCAAGTCTGTAAGATTGTTCTTTCCTGTTTTTCTTTTACTTTACTTTCAAATTCAGGCCTTTGTATAGACAAGACTTGTTTTCTTAGTTTTCTCAAACACTGTTGAGGCAAGTTGAAATTAAACGTAATCTCATTATAGTAACTAACATTTGTATAGTACTTTATAGTTAATAGAGTGCTTCATATGCCCTTTACTTGATCACTAAGGGATAATAAAAATGACGTGGTTATAGAAAGTAGAGTAAACTTGGTTAAGCTTCCAAAGTGCATGTTTATAACACTTAGATGCCTGGCACTGTGCTTTCTGTTAGGTAACATAAAGATGGTTTCTACCTTCAAACATCATGGTCAAATGAGCCTCTAACAACTCACAACCCCCAAAGAGCTGTTGTAATTTGGCACAGCTTTGCCTGGCTTTCTTTTCAGTGGCTCCCTGCTCATCTCATCTCTTTCACATGAGAGAGTTCTAAACATTTTAATTTCTTTCCAAGAAAAGGCAAAAGACCTAGAGATGTAGATTTACATTCCCCTGACCCCCTTGGGACTCTACTTATGTTCTGAATCAACAGGCCTTTTGCTGTAGAGCACTCTTTCTGCCTTAAGCCTTCCACACAAGAACACTTATCACTTAAGTAGTGTTGTATACTGGTAATGTTTTAAAGTGCTTTACATGTGTTAATTTATTCTATCCTCAAAGCAAGGAACTTTGAAAGTCATTTAGTCTAATTTCTCAAAAACATAAAATTGACTTGTTCTTTGATTAGCCAGGTAATTAGTGGTAGAACCGATACTAGAACACAGTATTGTTGGTCTTACTCCAATAGATTAAAAAAAAGATTGGATAATTTTAAGGTGCTTGAACGGAGTGTCTTATATTTAAGAATGTTGAGAACTTAGTGTTTGAATTGCATAATGTTGGTAATATGCTGCCTTCATTGGGCGGCAGGATACATATCCAGCAAATGCTGACTCTGCATTAGGGAAAGCAGGTAAATCCTTTGACGATTCAATTTACAAAACTAATGATAGTGACCTTAACTTGATACAGCAGCCATTTGGAAAATGTTCAGAGTATATATGTATAGACAACAAAGAATATAATACTTTTCATAATTAATATTATATATCATTAGTTTACCTTAATTAAAACATAAATATCTCCATTTTATTTTTTGAGAGGAGGAAGATTATCATTAATTTATTATTTTAGTAAAGTAGCTCTGAAGATTTCCATAAAGTCCATCTCAGATTATATTTATAGCTAAACGTTTTATATACTTTTCAAATTTAAATTCCGTGCTAGAAGATTTAAATGTCTAATAAACCATCTATACATGTAAAGTTAAACTGTAAGACTTATTCATTCAAATTTAAATCATTTAAAGATAATTGTTTTTTCTTGTAATCAGGCTATTTTGGATATGACATATTTTGAGGAGAACAAGCTAGTAGATGAAGATTTTCCTGAAGACTCTTCACAGAAAGTAAAAGAGCTGATCAGTTTTCTTTCAGAACCAGAAATTTTAGTTAAAGAAAATAATATGCATCCAAAAGTAAGTTTTACACTCATAGATTATGGTGGAATTCTTGCTATTTGTACTGTTCTTTAGAGTCTGTATATTTGTTTTCTTAAGTATGTTTTTGTCTCTGTTTTAAATTAAGATTGAAGGAGGGATATATGAGAGTTTAATATTTCAGACCAATGTTACAACTAAAGTATTATATTTTACTAAATATGCTTCAGAATATTTGTATGATAGACTTACATTGTAATTACAGTGCCGAATAATTTTCTAAACACAGATATTTGTTGTTTCTGTTCCCTTTTCTTTTTCAGATGCTGTATTTCCTTGAAGGTTCCCAGTAATCTAATTACCACATATCTCATCCTTTTTACAGTCTCATCCTCCTGGACATTTGCTGCCTTTCTTCCCATTGAGCAACCTGTCCCTCCAAGGCATTGCATACTCCTCCTCCTCTTCATCTCTGAGAAGTCTTATCCTTTCTCTTTCCAAAAAATCACATGCTGGAAACATAGGCACTCCAAGGATAGCTCCTTAATCTTCTGATGGTCTCCATTCTGTCTTTGCTTTACAACCTATTCATATGCTTTTCAGTGCCATCTCTATTTAGATGATTCCAAGATTTGTGTCTCTAAATATGGCTATTCTTTCAAGCAAATAATTTCTCATTTTTAACTGCCCGCCACCTATCTCTTCCTAGGTATCTTTTGTGCTCTGTTTAAGAGGGGATGCTAACTGTGGAAACAAATAATCCCAAATTTTAAATGATACAGCACAGTTAAAGTTAGATTTATTAAAATTGTTTTGTTGTATATCTTTTTATTTATTCTAGCAATAGTAGAAAAAGGTAAGATCTTGTTTTAAATAATGTATATTTCTGAAAAGTTATCTTTTTAATCAGATTATGGAATACTTAAATTTCAGATCTATTAGAATTTGCTACTAAAATATTTAAATAATATTTTCTAAAAAAATTTTGTAAATTGGAGCAGTTATTTTAATTTTCATTCAGCAATAGATTTCTGTATTTCTATTTAATTCAAAGTAAGACATTCCTGTGTAAATAGCTAAATGAAGGGCAAAATTTGTGAAATGAGAGTGTTTTTAATTGCTCAGCATTTTGAAGTTTAACTTTGACTTTTACAAATACCGAGTTTCTCTTCTTAGCTGTGTCTTTGTTGTATTTCAGCACTGCGATTTGCTTGGGGACGAACTCCTGGAATGTCTCTCTTGGCGTCGAGGAGCTCTACTTTATATGTATTGTCATTCTCTGACCAAAAGGAGAGAGTGGCTCATGAGAAAATCTAGTTTGCTTAAAGAGGTAAAAAGTCATTCTTCGTATGTTTTTGGTTGTTGACACATATAGGTTTCAAAAAGCTATCTTTAGTATAGTATTGAGAGTGTGGATCAAAGGGTCCGGGTTTGCATTCCAGGTCTTTTACTTACTAGCTGTGCAATCTTAAACAAATTAGAATTGCGAAGATTAAAATAAGATAACATGTGAAAGCCCTTTGTACACTGGGAAATTCTACATGCTTTTTTTAAATTCAGGATTTTTATTTTTTTAAATATCAGATAATCTATATTAATTTTTAAGCATTTTTTTTTCCTGAAGAAAACAAACTTGATTGTGAACCTCTGTCAGCAGATCACTTCTAAAGAACCGACGTGACCCTGTTCCTAGAAAATTGTGGCTTTCTGATTGTTTGACTCTTCTAACCAAATCAATAAATCTAAAGACCCTGTCTCAGTATTATATCACTAAGAACTCTAACGTAGATTGATTGTACCTGTGGTTTATGTGGGCCAGGAAATGAGAGGTCACACTTTTAGATGTAAAAGTTTGATCATATTGCTTCTAAATTACAGTAAATATATATTTTTAATATGTCATCAAACTCATCTTTATTACCTTTATCCTTTCCTTCCTCTGATAACATTTTGATTCGACAAGTATATTACTGAATCGTGTTCTTAGTTAATTTTCTTTTTTCTGTCATGCCTTTAGTAATTGGAGCATTTGGAGGGTTACACTCTATAATATATATTATAAAAGTTTTGGGGTGGTGGGTTCTTAAACCATTGAAATGTAATAGCCATTAGATACATCTATATATTAGCTTGTTTTCTCTTGAGTAAACGTTGAAAGTTTCTATAGCTCTGCATATAATACTTTCAATTCTTTGGCTTTGACTTTCATTTAGTACCTTGTTGATGGAATCAGTTACTTGCTACAGATGCTAAATTATCGGTGTCCTATCCAAGTAAATGAAGGGGTTTCTTTCCAGGACCTAGACACAGCTAAATTACTGAGTGAAGGTAATGTGATCTCTTCTTGAAGTTTTTGTTTTTAAAGTTTTTTTCAATTTTAAGAAGTTTATTATATTTCACTCTGACTTAAGTAAATTTCAAGTTACATTGTAGACAAAAATAATCAAATAGCTTTAAAAAATTCAAAGATCTTCTCATTTGTAATGTAGAAAAATACTGCTAACCTCTCTTTTTTGTAATTTTGGGAGTTATGTATCATGTTACCTTTACTTTGCATCCCCACCTAGCCCCAATCAGGTACTAGGTTCCACTGCTTGTAACAGAAGCTGGAAGTAACTTTTAAGATAGAACTTTACTGCTCTTTCACATAGAAAAGGTCCAGAGCTGGTATGTTGGCTCCCTGGTATCATCAGTTTCCTATTTCCTCCATCATCTTTAGAGCAAGAGTCCTTCAGCTTCAGATGGAGGTACTTTATACAGAATATCATGGGAATAGTACTTCCCAGAGTTGTGCAACATGCATCCCTGTGACAATATTGCTTCCATTCTCAGTATCCCAGGATGCTCTTGGAACTCCTTACATCTCACCTATGTTTCAGTCTGTAGGAATGGCAAAAAATGTTTCTTTCACCCAAGTTTGCTCCTTTGGAGCAACCTTCTCAGAAGTTTCTTATAATACGTACAGTAGTTCCACCTACATTTCACTGGCCGGAATTTAATCACATGGATTCATGTAGCTACAAGGGAATCTGGAATGTATAGTCTTTTACCTGATACATTGCCATCCCAAATAAAATTAAGTCTCTTTACTAAGAAAAAAAAGGAAGAATAGATATTGGGTAGCAACTATTAGTTTCTGCCACAAACATCTATGCATTTACAAATGTTGAGAACTGGATTTAGAGCATCATCTGGGTTTTAGACTGAGGTGCAGGAGGGAAGAACCACTTATTTTTACCATCTCTTTTTACAAATGGAGCAACTGAGGTCCTGGTAAGCCAGATGACCTGTTCAAGGTCACATAGCTGGCAAGTGATGCACATGATCATGTGTGTAATCTTTTTTTTATACTTCACCTGAAATTTTGGCGGGGAAAAATCAAATACAGGGAAAAGAAAACTTCTTAGGGAAAATTCTATATTTTAATTTTATAAGTATGTTTTAATCTTCCTCTTTCTTTGTTAGCTTTTGTAGGCTTTTCCTTTCCGTTCAAAAACATTGCATAGGAAAAAACAGCATAATTTAAGTATCGTTAACATATAACTGACTAAAGGGGTCCAAAAATGGTTACTTTCAGTTCATTCAGGCAAATAACTTGTCCTAAAATAGTTTATTGTGAATACAAAGTGCTCCTTCAGTAGGCAGGACATTTTGACCATGGAGTGTTTTGATTTATTTATGGGAACTATTTATTCCAGATAATTAGTGAACCGATTAGCTGCACTGAAAATGCCTTTCTAAAATCTCTTTACTCACCCACATGGAATGATTTAAAAGCAGGGGTGGGCACTAAAGCCTATTTAGAACTAAAGAAAGTTACATAAGTCACCAATTTTATTTATCCCATTTTTAGTCATAAGGTAAGATACTCTCATGGCCTGAAACTTTTTCTTCAAAATGCATGTGATAGTGGTGGCTTGTCGTAGATCATAGTTTGATTGCACTAGTCACTAGCTTTTATTGCTTCTACAACAGAGGGATTAAAAGAGACAGATAAAGTTACTTTTCTTCGGGGTTAGGGGGAGGGAAGCAATATTGGCTCCATAGTAGTTTTGTCACAGTGCTTAGTCCTCTTTTGCTGTTAGCTTTTTGCTCTCATTTAAAGCAGTTTGCTCCTCTGTAATTCATTTATCTCAAAATGATTAGAAGGCAGGAAGCCTACTTTTGATAGGCTAAATTACTCCTAAGACCCCGTCAAAGACATCTAATTATTTTTTCATTTTTTTGGTAGCCAATATAAAACAATTCTGAAGAATCTTCAGTACTCATTAGGGAGAAAAATTCTATAATGAGATATCAAAATATTTTCATGGCCAGATCTTAATGATAATTTTAGATAAAACTCAAAACCGTGTATATTTAGTAAGATTTTTTTTTCTTTTTCCATGGTAAGATAATCATATTGTCTTTTGAACATTACCTGTACGCTATTTACAGACTTTAAAAATTACTAAGTAATATATTTAGTGAACCTCTACCTCATTTCTGAGCCTCACTCCTCTGTGGACCCTTATAAAAATAGCCTTTTCAGAATTACTTTTTCAGAATTACCCTGGAGTTAAATAGGTTAAATCAAAATACTGGTGAGCTTTGCACACCCTTGGTTTATGCCCTTTTTATACCGACCGAGAACCACCCCTTTCCAGCTGCCCTTTGGCCTGCTGCTTAACCCAGAAACTGGACTTCAGATCCCTTAAAAGAAGTAGCTCTGAACAGGCATCGTTGCCTAGGTGGCTTATTAAAAATATGGCTTCCTGTGTGCCACCTGCACACAGGTTCTTTTTTAAATAAGCTCACATAATTATGCAATCAGATTTAGACTTCACTGCTCCTGGGGGATGCCAGTGTAGTGGCCACCTTTTTCCTATGAAAGTCATCTTTCTGCCCTCACTTTCTTGAGTTTTTCTCCCTCTCCCTCCCTGCATCTCCCACTACACAGATTTGTTTGCCAAGGACATGCACAGTGCAGAGTAAAGTATTTTATTGAAAACCATGTTGGGCATTAACAGAAAAAAGAAAATCACAAGGAAATTTTGTAGCAACACAGACTGTAGCTACAGAGTAGTGATTCTTTGGGGAATAGAAAGAAAGTGCCTGATTTTTACATTGTTCATCTTTTTAGTACAATAGTTTAGTGTAGTTGATGGACCAGCTGCAGCAGCAGTATTACTGCAGGCCTTAGGACTTTGTTAAAAATGCAGATTCAGGTGGCGACTCTATAGTGTAGTGGTTAGCATGTCCGTTCTACACGTAGAAGGTCCTGGGTTTGCGCCCCAGGTGGAGCCACAGACCATAACCTGGGTGTGCCAGGCCCCCGGGGCGTCAGGCCTCGGGTGCACACTGTGAGCATATGGGAGGAGACGCCCTGCCTTCAGAGATCCCGTTCTTAAGGAGAAATGGCAACATCCATAGGTCAGGGGTGGAAATTAAAAAGGGGAAAAAAATATGCATATTCATATACCCAACCCCATAACTGAATCTGAAATTCTGGAGGTGGGGGCCCAGTTTTCAGCATTTTAGCATGTCCTCTGGGTAATTCTAATGCAGGCTAACGTTTGAGAACCACTGTGTATCATATAGCCATTCATTCTTTCCCTGGTGATATCTTCCTATAGGCCATCTGTGTACCTTATTCAGCAGTCACCCCTTGTTAATATAAAGAATGAGGCTAACTTGGAGTTGGGCATAAATTGGATCTCAGATCTCCCTTAGACAAATGCTCTCACCCTTCCCAAGTGCCTTTACCTTTGAGACATACTTCAACTCCTCCTCCCAAGGCTATAGCCTGCTTAAAAATTCCAACTTCCCTCCATTTCTGCCTCTTTTTCCTTTCTCCCTTCCACCAATCTTTTTAGGACTAATTAGGGTGTAGGATCATGTAAAAAGGATATTCAATGACACGCTGAATATAATATAAAATATAATTCTGAATAACCTCTGATCTTTTTTTGATCTTTTAACTGTAAAGGAATAAAGTAAAAAATGACGTATAATATGTATTGTACCTATTAAGTGAATGTTTTATACATAGAAAGCATAATTAATACAGTGTAGCTGATCATATTTTCATGAATTCTGCCCTAAAATGATTATTTCTTTTATTGTTTTAACAATTTAATGAGTCAGTT